TTAAATTGAAACTGGAAGTTTTAAAGCCAGAAAAAATTGGATTTAACAATGTCTGTAAATAATTTAAATATAATAAAGGAAATAATATATGTAATCACAGTAAAAAAAGTTAAAGATATTGCTACGCTACTTTCTAGGCGAATGCGCACAATGGAAATATATATTCCATACATTTGTAATCTAGTCATATATCAATATATTTTTTACTGTAAATAATAATGCTTTAATTAAATAAACATGTATTCAAAACAAGAGAATAATCGTATTCTTCACTAATGCTTATGTAGAAACTTAAGTATATGTAACTTGAAAGTTATAGAACAATAATGTAATAATTAGACTTTTGTTACATATCTGTATATTTCATAAACGTACAAAATTTACAGTTTAGTTTAGTTAAGCATTACAGATTATTAAACATGTATTTACATTTTAAAATATATCTCTTAACGGATCAATTTATATCTTTTAAAATTCCTTTAAGGCAATTCCGCAGTGCCATTATGGTTTATTCATATGATCCATGGCTGTTTTTGAATTACTGGCGCGGGGAAAGTTGCAACTAATGTAAACGATGCTTTCAATCATGTTACCAACATAATCATAAATAAGTAAGTGGTACTTCAGCTCTATGCATATGCATTTAGTTACTCCAAGCTTGAAGATTCATTTTCAATATATAATTTGGTTTTTTTATGTTTGAAAGAATGGGAAAAGAAAAAAGCAGTTATCGATATGAATTATAAGTTGATGTATCCATGACAATAACAGATTTCCATACTTATTAGTTAATTCTGTAATCATTAAATCTGTTTGATGATCGATTCGAAGGAAATTTAAACGATACACGAAAGGCTAATTTTCTAGGAATATTCGTTTATCGTTTATCACGCATGTCGTCTAGGGCGGAACGAATCAAGTGAATCAGTGTACAATGGCTTGTGTTTCGATGGAACATCGAATTACATGTATGTGCTTCGTACAAGGTGTCCGCGACGATGCAGAGTTTTGATTATGAAAAAAATAATGTATACGTAAACGGGGAATAATCTTGTGCACAAATGCATATCTGCAAAACAGTAAATAGAATGGGAAAGCAAGACGGATCTTGTTGGTGGTTTATGAAGACGGTCACCTGGATACCAGTTATTTTCATTTTAACGATTATCGTATGGTCGTATTATGCTTATGTGGTGCAGTTATGTTTTTGTAAGTACCATTTTTCGATTCTAACATACCCAACAACACCATTTATCGTTACCATCAATGTTTCTTTAAATAATTCTGTTTTTTTACTGTTTGTTTATAATAAATAATCAAATCTGTCGCCTAAAGAAAGATTGAATACACGCAGAACAAACAATAAATTAATGTTTCCTTTAACCGAATGTTACAATATCTAAAAATGTTCTTATTGCTGTGTACAATCTGTATGAGTTTATGAGTGGAATTGTTTACATAGACTTTTACTTCCAGATCCATATTGAGATCCATAATCCATATGAAACATATACTTGATGAATAAAATAAAAATATTAATTTTTATTGGAAATAATTTCTAGTATAATTTTCAATTTTTACATCAAAATCGATTAAAAAAAATTAAAGGTTTTATTATTAAAAAGTTTGCTTAGTCTCAGTTTGATATTTTAAATTTTAATAATATTATTTAATTTGCCCACTTTTCCTATTCAACTTTTTAATTTTAAACACTGTGTGTATCAATACTTGATTATATTATGCAAGTTATATATTGCTATTAATCTTGTTTTTCTTCTTTTAGATACAGTAGATAATTATGTTCAAAAAGGTATGTAAATTTTTGTTTATACAATTAAATAATATTTTTACGAATAAGAAATATATTTATTTAAAATTGTTAATTACATTGTGTTTGTTTGTTGACAGCCTTTTACCTGATTTTTTATCATGCCTTATTCCTAATGTTTTTATGGTCGTATTGGCAAACTGTATTTACAGATTTAGTAATAATACCGGATAAGGTAAAATTTAAATTCTGTAGTAATTATTACATTATATAAATGCTTTATGTATATACATATATATATATACATGTATATTTTTATATAGTTTAGAATACCAGATGTAGAAATGATAAAATTTCAACAAGCTGAAACTGAAGAAGCAAGAAGACAAATTTTAGAAAGATTTGCGCAAGATCTTCCAGTCACAAATCTTACCATTACAGGAGGTGTGTTTGTTTACCTTTTCATATAATTATTTATGTATCTATAGTCCTTTAGTCCTTTTAAAATGTAATTAATATATGACTTTTTATGATCAATAGTCATGCGACAACAATTCATTGGTGGATATTGTACGTATTTCATATATATTACTTTTTTTAGTAATACGTGTCTGTGAGAAATGTCAGTTAATTAAGCCAGATCGAGCACACCATTGTAATGTCTGCAGGACATGTGTTTTAAAAATGGATCACCATTGTCCATGGGTAAATAACTGCGTAGGCTTTCACAACTACAAATTCTTCATGTTGTTTCTGGCGTATGCTCTTCTTTACTGTATATTCATTACTGCTACATCTTTACAGTATTTTATACGTTTTTGCAAAGTAAGTATAAATCTGTACAACAGTTTAATCCAATTGTTTACTATTTTATTATATTTAAAACTGATATTTTATTCCTATAATGATACAAACATTTATTACTCAGGGAGAATTGGATGGAATGGGTAGATTTCATCTTCTGTTCTTATTCTTTGTGGCATTGATGTTCACAGTTAGCCTAAATTCTCTTTTTCTGTACCATTGTTATCTGGTTTTACATAATAGGTCAACATTAGGTAAATAAAATGTTAAAATAAAAAGCATGTCCTATTACACTGTATAGCATTTTAGATAATTTAAATATTATTTGTTATAATACATTTTCAGAGGCATTTACACCGCCTATGTTCCGTACAGGAAAGGATAAAGATGGTTTCAGTCTTGGAAAGTACAATAATTTTCAAGAAGTGTTCGGTGATAATCCTAAACTATGGTTCCTTCCTGTTTTTACTAGGTATGTTTTTTAAACATGACTCAAGTGTTATATTTCTTAACAATGTTTTCACTATAATAATATAAAATGTTTAAGACTAAACTGTGAACCACTTGCACAATATGAAAAACTAATGCAATTTTTCTAACTACTTACATTTCATACTTATTTTGTGTGTAATAATATATTTATTATGTAATAAGCATGAATTGTAAGTATGTACTTACATATATGTACAAAAAATATACAAAGTAGAATTTAGTGTATATCCATGGATGTTAGATATCACTCATTACAGATGTTGGAATTTTTAAATATTAAATGTGACTATATATAGAAAATTAGAATTCTTATAAAACTACATTCAACCTGTAGCGTTATTTATACGTATCGTATACATATCGTACTCCTTCTTTGATATATGACTCAGGTAGACATGTAGTATGACTTCAGGAAGAAGTTATCATTTCACAGATAAGATATGAAATGAAGAAAATGGTAAAGTAAAATGATAAAAAGTGTTATACTTTGTAAATATACATATATATATATATAGATTTATAAACTGCCTTAAAAATCAGAATCATATAAAATAATTTTTCATTTCGTTTAACATCAAACTAGGAAGTAAAAGACAAAAATATTATCTCTATTAGCAAGGTACTATTCATTATAAATTTCTTCAATATTTCAATTGATTATACTGCATTATTTTATCTAATAGTAACTATATTAATTAGTTAAATCGCGATGGGTGCGTTGACTGTGTTTTAGTCTTGGAAACGGTGTCACGTATGCAGTACGCGCGCAACATCAAGGCCCACCCAATACTTACGACTCCATGGGCAGTACTCGAAACAGGTCAGCATTATAAAAGTGTAAAATGTCAAATTGATAGTTGTAATAACTTTTACTATGGAACTCATTATAACATCATTGATTGAAAGGCAGTTCATAGTTCATTGAATAGTAACATTAATTGTTATTGTATATAATTATTTAAAGGAAAACATTTTCTTCATATTTTTGTTTTATTTTCTTTATTCATGTTTCTGTTTAGATTTATACATTTAATTTATAAAGGAAACATCTCTTGTTTTAAATATTTTCCTTTCCTGTTTATTCTACACAGAGTTCCAAAGTAATGAACATGCATACATGTTGCTTTCTTGATGCATGCAACTGTTTATTTCCATTGTGTTCTTATATTTTTTTTCTAATATATATAGCAATATCATAAAGAGTAGTTATTACACTCGTAAAATTTGTTCAGTTACTATTAACTTTGATATTTTATTTGTAATAATACTAACAAAGTTATGACTTGGGCACTGTAACTAAATGTTTACTCCATGCCTTTTATTTGTTTGTTCACTCATGGTATATGTGCTTTCATACTTATTAAAATATGTTGCTAAGCAATTTTAAAACTGTAGTCAATATAAACCTAACTTGCGACAATACATTAAAGAATATAATATGTATATTACATTCAAAGATATTGTTATCACTATTTTAAGTCTGTACAATATTTGACATATATGTTTGACATTGATGGTATTTATAACAGCGTTTATAAATAAATTTAAATCTGTGTCTGTACAATTCATCTGCAGATAAGCATTAATTGTGACGGATTTAAAAATAGGTATTAGCTTCATTTTAAATTGATATTTAAACAGTGCACGTGTTCTTTCTTTCTTTTAGGTAGATGCATCATATTGTGCATTAATCGATTATGATTACAAATTTCTTACAATTTTGAGAGGTATTGTGCATCTGGTTCCTACAGACTGATACATAATAAATTGTTAGAAGTGGCATAACTATAACATTATTTCTGTAAATTTGTCACATCGAAGATAATAAGTCACAAACAACTCTGCAAAAGACTTTTATATTTAAAGATTAAAATTCATGGTAAATTCCGAGCCTACGATATTTAAAAGCGAGTAGTTACGCTACTTCTGAGTACATGTGGGATAACATCGAGTAGAAGGTAGGGTGTGGGTTACAGTTTTGGCGATGGGGTAAACTTTCCTGAACGGCTGTGCAATGAAGACACGCATACTCTGTTGGGGCATACTACCCAACAGTGGGGTGATGAGACCGAGCTTGACTCTCCACCTCCTTATGGGTCGCAAGCAGGTATTGTGTAGTTTGAATCCCTACGTTGAGGCTGTGCAATTAAATACAGTGTCCAACAACATGCTACAGTATTCCTGATGCAAAGCTTTGTTAGCTGCAATTACTCTGTCTATAACATCCATAAAAGAAATAGATTTGGTCCTGTGAATACTTCTATAATTCACATGAGCTTATACATTACACTATTCTTCTTTTCCTTCTTAATGAGTTATTATCGTTGCCTCATGACACAAAAGTTAGTGTTCATTTTAGAACATTTTTAATGCTGTATACATGATTAAGACAAATAATTAGTTACTGTTAATGTGAACCCTTTATTCTACACTGTCCTTATAAATTTAATCAAAGTGTCAAGCATTAATGAAAGGAATATATACTATTAAAAGTAGAAATTTACAGATATTATTAAAAACAGGTATACTACTTTTTCGTGTCATAAATATATGGTGGATATAGATTTCAAGGGTTAATTAGCTAACATATTTTAATCATTTTATTTCTTAACAGTGTGACATATTTTGATTATGAGTATTAATCGATAAACGGTTTATGAACTCTTACATTATGTAAGTACAACTTCCATTATACAGATTTTTTTAAACTAAAGAGATCAGTGTTTTAATGTGTATACTTGTTTAAGAATAGGCTAATGTCAAATGGAGAATGTACATTTTTATAATACTTAGTACAAACGTAATTTGTATGATAAAACTATAGATAAAGAACTACGCCTAATGAAGTCCATAAAGATTGTATGAACTATATATTAATAAAATTACATTCCTTGTGTATCTGTCAGTGTACAGGATACATATGAAATATTGTACATGATAAATATCAAATGTTACTGTCTATTATACAATAAAACCATAACTAAAAAACAGAAGAATAAATTGGTAATGTTGTAAAATTGTATGTATTTGTAGAATATGAACAAATTTTTCTATACAGTTAAAATTTAATGTATCCAATGTAGTTTTTAGAGTTGATTGCTATGCATGATTGTAGATTATTCTCACTTCTGTAGATACGCATGTTCTATCGTACAATGCTAATAAAATTAATAAATAATTAAAAAATTTAAGGTACATTTGTCTGTTACATCTGTGATTGTATGTTTTAATCCAATTAAATCGTTTTATTACAAAATTTCTAGAATTCAACTTTTATCTAATAATTCTATTTACACTTTTAAAATTAACTACAGTAATTTTATCTCTTTCATTACTCATGAAAATGATAAACTGAAACATTGTAATTGCTTATTTGTTAGTAAAAACGCATGTGACTCTGCATATCATATTTTATAAAATCTAATTATATTTTAACTTTATATATGTGTGAATTTACTAATGTATTTTGTAATCATTCCTAATTGATTCAAATTATAACTATACATTTATTCAAAAATATATGATTACATACTTATTTTGATATAATAATCCACAATTCTCGTTCTTTAAATAGAATGGTGTTAATTGTACATTTAATCTGTTTTAACATTCTGTAACTTATCATGTTACTAAGTTAAAATTCAAAAGCATTTTTATATATATTATGTTTAAAGATATTACTCCCACATGTATCGAATTAATGTCTAAGACAGCAGAACTCTTTGTAAGGAAGGTATGCAAAATAGAAATTAGAAATGTGAGAAACTTATTGGAATTATCATCAATATGAACATTTTTGAAACTGTACATAATAAAATTGTATTGTCGCATGTGTTCATGTTTTTACAGCTTTTAGAAACTAACATCTAATATTATTTTTTATAAGTGAAATGCTAATGTTAAATAATTACATTATTGTTTATTACTAAAATTATAATTACGATTTTAAAAATATCTGAAAGTATTGTATTAATAACTTTGAGTTTGATTAAATACATTTCGAATATTTTACAGCACTACTGTAATAGGTTTTGCTGCAGATGCAAATCAACCACTGGTGGATACAACCGAAGTTGTTTGACACAGCAGTTAAATTTCCTTCATCTTTATTACAGACAGACAGCTCTTTGTTAATGTTTAACAAAGGCTGATTTCAAAGTCTCTACATAAATCCTTTGCAAATGTATCATTATTTTGCAACTAAGTATTCTATGAACAAAACTCTTATCAGATAAATTATTGACCCTGTTAACGAGTTTACCTCGTACAAAGGGTTAATGTAAAGACTACGTATAGTACAGAGTTTAACAGTCTTATACATCATATTCTACGTACATTAACGGGAAAATTATTACAATAATTAAAATACATAATAATTTACTTAGGTTTTTTGACTCGAACATGCAATGTCATTAATGGTGAAGCTATTATACATAATAGCATATGTAATTGTTATTGTATTTTGTAATGGCTTCGTCTTTAAATGCTAATAAGTTGCTATTAAAAGATTATTTATCTTTAAAGCATAAGAAAATGAAAAATTGATACAATGATCGATGTAAATTATAACTAAAAGAAATTACTGCCGTGAATGTTACAGACATGTATAATACACAGTTAAGATTTCAGTGAATATTAAATATTAATAGAAATACCGTGGTTATTAATGAAATTATTGACAATTATATAATTGTCAAAATACATGAAGAATTGGAAAAATTGCTTTAAACTATGAAACATTTCCTATTTCAGACATACTAAAACAAATGAACTATTGTCTCAAAGATTTTAAAAATTTGTATAACTACTTTATTCAAAACTATTACTGGTTTTAGCCGCATTATTACTAATTTAATTATATGTTTAATTTTAATAAAGGAGGAATTCAATTAACGAATTTCTACTGAACACATATTGTGCTTAAACTTTCAATTGTTTCTACCAAAATATGATAAACAGTTTCGTAAACTGTTAACCATATGTGTATAGTAGAAATGACAACAGTAGTACATATTATAATTGATTACAATGTGTCAATTTTTGACTGATACATGTAACATGCTTGCAAACATAGAACAATTTCCTTTAAACATCTCATATTTTTTGTACTAATACATTGTTTTGCATTTTTTGTATTGTATATTTCTGTTTTTAAACATTTATGTATTTTGTAAACCTTATAGTATAATACAATAACAAATAGTTAAAATATATTTCCTTTCAGGCAATTGAAAAAAATGAATTATTAAATAAAGAACATATTATATAAGTTTACCAAGCAATAAGTAAAATAAGTAAAGGAAATTTGATTTTAGGTATTAAAACTTTCGTTATACATTGTTTTTGTGTCTACTATAAATAACAGGAAACACAAACTAATTATTGCGACAATATACATTAATTATTATAAAGCATTTATTCAATTAATACACACACACACATATATATATATATAAAATAAATTCAATTGCTTTTTTTTCGTATGTATATAATGTTTATAATAAAAATTTAATTGTAAAAAATATGACACATTTTAAAATGCATGTAATGTTTGTAAAATGTTCTTTATTCTTTTCCTATGTAATGTTAAAGAATACAATAATCATTATTTTGTATGGAAACAGTATTATCACAACTTGTAACCATATTTTTGCATCCAACTTAATCCTTTCACTGAAGATGATTTTGGACGATACTCCAAACCGACATATCCATTGTATCCTTCCTTTTCTAAGACAGAAAGTATATATTTATAATCTATCTCTCCAGGAGTATCAGGTTCATGTCTGTCTGGAACTTGAGCAATTTGTACATGTCCTACAAACGAAAAAAAGAAATGAGTAATCCAATTATTTACATATGCATATAACAATTAAGCTGTACCTATATAAGGCAAAAGTTCCTTAATATTTTTTGTAATATTTCCACATATCTGCTGTAGATGAAACACATCGAGTAATAATTTTAAACTTGGATTATTTATTTTTTTCACTATCTTTAAACCTGTATTAAAATTTCATATTAATAACGATAATATTTATTAGCATGATGAATTTTGTTTACTTCTTCATGATTACCTTTTTCAAAACTGTTCATATAATAATTTGGAACAGTAATACTATTGATAGGTTCAATAACACCTGTAATTCCTTCCTTCTGAAATTTCTCAACTGCGTACAAAAGATTCTTTTCATATACATCATCATTAACATGTGTTGGATCATTCACTTTACCAGACATTACATGGATTCTGGTAAACAGATACAAAATGAGTTAGAAATTCAATTTTACATAGAGATTCGTAATTATAATTAATTAGTGTATCAGATATTGTTACATTTTGCAGTCCAATGCTTTTGCATAATTGATTGTTGTATCAATACTCTTTTTAAAGTTCTCTTCTTCTCCAGGGACTGCTGCAAATCCTAATTCTCCTTTTGATACATCACCTATTATAATAAATACCTTAATGTAATGTTTATGAAAAAGCTAAAATAATAATTTCCAATATGTTTTCTCTTTTATTTGTTTATAAATACCTGTGTAAACATTTATGAGAATTTGTTCAATGCCAGCATTTTTTTTAGCTTCAGATACATCATTAATGGAAAAACCAAAAGGAAAACCGCTTTCCACAGCTTTAAAACCAGCTTCTTTTGCTAATTTGTATCTTTCTTTAATACATGGTGTCTCCATAAACATGAAGGACAAGTTGGTAGCAAACTTTAGACTCATGTTGATTGTTTCCTTTTAAAGTTAGATTTATTACTACTTGTAGTAAAGAAAATTTTATATTATAGAAGTATGACTTATGTAAGTGCCTTATCTCCTCTAAATAAAGTGTACATTACTATAACATAATTAGATAAGAATTATCTTTTTTTAGTGTGATTATGTAGAAATAAATATTTCACTGTATCACTCCTTAAATTATATAATTACTGTACATACATAAAGTTACATTTTTTCAATTTTATTTGACTTAAAAAGTTGATTTTTTCATTAAAAAATATAAACACTATACCTTAAGAGGCACTTAATATAGATAAGTAATCATAATACTAACCTCAATTTTAAGATGTTATCAAACTTACAAATTTCTTCTTACTACTCATGTACCATCATGTTCATTTAACATTGCTTAATACATCTCAAATTTAAAAAATGATATTGCTAATTCTAATATATTTATTATATTTTCTTGTTACAATTAATTAGTCAAGGGAAAATAAAGAAAGAAAGTAACATAGTATAATTAAATTTTATTAAATATATCAGGATTGAATGTATTTATTTTTTAAGGAAAGTATAAAATAGCGCATACTTTAATTTAGTTTATGAATTGTTACGTGTTAAAAAATTTGAAGCGTTGTAATATCATATCTATATGACGTAAATGATTGCATAAACATTTTTACAAATACTTTTCGCATATGATATTTAAGATCAATTCACTGAAAGCCAATGAAGTGCAACATTATAAGTTAAACATAAAGGTTAAAGGAATTAAGGTGATTTTATATATATTATCACTCATCGTCATCATGAACACCGCCACCTGGTACTTTCGGACCTCCGGCACGTTTCGCCATTATAATATGATCGACTTTAAGAACAGTACATGCAACATCGACGGCATATTTCAAGCCCCATTGCTTTGTTAAGAATGAGTCTAAAATTTGAGCTTCTGCTGCATCGACGAGTTCTGTACCCTTTACCTAGAAATAGACATTTATTCGTAATGTTCTTTTAAAAGAAATGTTTTTAAATGAATTAATTAGAAACATACATTGATATCAAAGCCATAAGTTTTTTGGCCTTCTTTATGGGCTGCATAAAGTTTTGACAAAAGTTCAGGAGCATGACTTCCACTGTTCTCTGCTAAAGTTTTTGGGAATATTTCCAAAGCAGTTGCAAACCTATGTGCTGCATATTGTTCTAAACCTGGTAAGGTGTCTGCAAAAGTGTCAAGCTGTGATGCTAGTTCGATTTCAGTAGCTCCTGCACCAGGAAGAAATCGTCCATCTCTTGTTATTCCTTTAAACGTATTTACACCGTCATCGATTGCACGTTCAATGTCATCCATATAGTTTTCAGTAGATCCTCGAACGATTATGGTACTAATACGACTGTCTTTGCCACTTATTGAAAATTTCACTACAATAGTTTCTCCTATTTCGTCAATATATACGGAATCTGCATACCCTAACTCTTCTTTTGTTGGTGGTATCTAATGTAAAAGAATTTTTTTATAAAGATTTTTTATTCTTGCAATAATGAAATATGTAAAATAAAATTATTTACCAATTTTGATAATGCAATAGCTCCAACACTTTTACATAATCTTCTAATATCAAACTTGCTAGGTATACGAACAGCCATTAAATTATATATTTCCATATAATGTAATGCCATGTCACCAAACTTTCCTCCAGATACTACAACGGTAGCTCCACTGTCAGCAATTGCTTTTATTTGACTTTCTAATAGAGATTCTTCTCCTCGAGAGAATTTCATTAGTTCATCTGCTGACTTTATTAATACAGTTCCTTTTGTTTCAGTTTGCATAATGTCTACTGCACATGTGTAAACAGCAATTTTGGCATTATCCGTTTTTGTAATATTCCCTTCCACTTGTCGCTTGAATACCATTCCTTGTACAACTTCAGAACTAGATATGCCGCTGCCAAGTATTTTACAGACACGTACATTGTCTACATTGAAAGTAGTTTTTTCAGGTAAAATAGATACACAAGCTTTTGTAACAAGCGAAGTGAGAGCATCTTCATTTCCATATTGTTTACTCATAATAGCTGTCTTTATCCCAACTTTAACTTTCTCCTCATCTCTATAATCTTTAATTTCATGACAAACCAGTGATGGTAATATTTCCAAAGCTTTCTTTAACGATGCTTCGTATCCATCAATTATTTCAGATATATTAACTCCCTAATATAAAATAAATTACATTAAAATGTTATTTTATGATATTGAGCAACAATGTCAGCAATTATATTAATATTTAAATATCTCACCAAACGAAGTAATTCTTCTGCAGCAGTAAGAAGTGCTCCAGCAAAGATTATAACAAAATTTGTACCATCACCGACTTCTGCTTCTTGCATTTTGGATGCCAAAACCAATAATTTTGCAGCTGGATGTTCAACCTCTAATTCATTAATAATTGTTGCAGCATCATTAGTAACAAATAGTTTCTCAATATGATTAATAACCATTTTATTCATGCCATTTGGTCCATATGCAGTTCTTACAGTTTGCGCAAATAATTTGCAAGCTTGTATATTTCTATATACAGCTTCTTCAAGACCTGAAAAATACTAATACAAAGGCAAAAAGAATATTAAATTATTAATTTCATGGCAGCTAATCACTGAATATTTGTTTTAAAAAATTAAAATTATATGTATATTCATAGTTTATTAATAAGTTTATTTTATGAATATATTAATATATAACGTATAATTCAATAATAAAATGTAGAATATTTGTAATAACGAATAAAATATTCATTGGAATGCGAATCCTAATTAATTGAAATGTACGAATTCTGTTCGTACTCGTTGTAATTAAACTGACAACTTATAGGCTATGAACCGGTAAGGAACTGCTAAAGTAATAAGGGAAGAAAAAAGGAGTAAATGAGAAATTTTAGTTTATCCAACAGAAATATACTTTTTAGTATAGCTTGAATAATATGGAATGAATTATGCCTATAAAAGGCAACGTTCATCGTATTCACATCGACAGGAAAACATTATTCTGTCGTGGTTCGATAACATGTTACAGAAACATGGGAAATATCTATTGTAAAATATTACAGACGATTTCCTCAACTTACACGGGCTCCTTCTTTGAGCATTTGGGCTATGCCCGGTGCCTTTGGTACGTGTAAAGCCATAATTTTTGGAAATTAAACGATCTCTTGCTCACGTGCGATTCACAATTGATATTCTACCACAGAACACCTTTATTCGAGCAAAACTTCGGTCTTATTTCGAAGACAACTTATAGCGCGCATGCGTGTAATACCATCGAGGAGGTTCTTATGTTCGCCGTAGTATTAATAGTTAAATTTAAATGAAGATTTGAAGAAAAATTGAATACAGACATAATTTTATGGTAAATTTTATGTCATTCTTGTACTTGATATAAAGAATTTCAATTAAGTTGAAAACGTTGTAGGTAAATAAAATGATAGACACTTTATGTTATGAGTTTGATAGTTTTACGCATTTATTTCTGGAAACTTCTATTACCGGCAATGCTTTATAATTTTTGCGATATAAAAATAAATTAGTACTTGTAGATAATCGTATATTTAACAAGTATGAAATTAAATTCTTAAAAATATCTCAAGCGTAAATGTTTTATTTATAGTAGAATATTTAACAAACGTATTTATTAAAAAGAGTCTTAATGACAATAAAGGATATTTCTGCCATGAAAACCAGCCTAAAGGGATAGGCTTTCATTATAAGCTCTGATAAACATTGAGAATTTTCAGGAAAAACGGACATTTACGTATTTATAAGCTGTTGTAAAATTGGTAAGTAATAAATATATATCTCTTAGTACTTCTGCGTATATAATTTATCAAATAATTAATATTTTTCCGACTGGAAGCGATAATTAATAAATTTTTCCGTTTGGTGGAACTCATTAAAGTTCTTTGTCACTTTTCTACTTTATTGATACAAGAAGTGAATAGAAATTAAAAAATTGATTCAGGAAAATATATAGATAGCTTATCCAGTTATAATAATGAAAACATCAAAGAAAGCATGAAGTAAATATGTTATATTTTTCAAATGTTTGATAGAAAATCTTATTGTCTGCAACTGTTATGGATATGGTGATCACAAATTTACAACAACAACGCCAAATTACAGAGCAGCTTCGTCGTGAAGCTGCTCTAAAGAGGATTACAGTCAGCAAAGCTGTGGAAGATATTATGAAATATATCACCGAGCATGAACAAGAAGATTGCTTGTTGGTTGGTTTTTCATCTCAGAAGTCTAATCCCTTTCGTGAAAAAAGTTCGTGTGCCATTCTTTAAGCTAGCATGCTTAAAGTGAAGAATATATTAATTCAATCTTTTTTTCCAAGTATTCAAATTATTTTATTATCTTCACACATAAAAACAAAGAAAACTCTTTCTCTGTGGAATTATTAAAGTATATGACACATTTTATTTATTGTATAATTATCTAGGTTATTATTTGTATCAATGACACTTACAGTCATTCGTATAATTCATTTCTTATATTCAATTCAATTTATTACTATTGCTTCCATATAAACAATCTTCCATAGAAACAAATCTATTTTTTTATACATTGGATGCAGTCAGCAAGAAAATGAATCTCATGAAAACATCTAATATCACATTCTTGCTATACCATTGGCCTAAAAATGTACAATAAAAATATATACATATTTATATACAACAATTTTACACACTAATATATGTACTCTATACTGAAAGTGAAAGTCTATTTTATATAATATTGATTTTATGAAATATTTGAGGAATTACAATATTTGGACAAACAGAAAAATAGAAGAATATCTGATATTACTGTATTGAAATATGTATATACATATAAAATTTATAAACATGTTAAGATGATACCCATATTGTATGTCAATATTTTTCCGATTAAGATGTATTTACAAAACTATTGTTGGAAGGTTTGCCACTTTCATATAAAATAAGAATATTTTGATAGTATTTATATTGTCAATTATGCAAGTGTATACAAGTGTGTAATAAGTATGTTTAAGAATGTTAAATTTTAATAAAATAAAGTAATATGAATAATATAAGTTTTATTATTTTTCCATCATATATGTTTATGATAATTAATACCATTTTCTTTCATGAATTACGAAATCTAATCTTTTATTTTTTATGGTTAATGCATTGGTTGAAAAATACAGAAACATTTGAAACCGATTAACTGTTTCGAACGAAGTGGAACTTCGATCGTTGCATGACGATGAGGCTGAAAATGCTTAAAAATGTCAAGATTTATTTAATTAACGAGATTTTAACTATCGAGATTTTAATCTACTAGCATTAATAATTTTTGTTTTATAGAGAATATTTCAGTATTAATCATGGAATTTAATATAAAGGTTATTAATTTAACCTCGAATGTCACATGCCATGGTACATAAAGGTAAACGTCTTACTAAAAATTGAACCGGTAAGTATTAATTATTTGTTTACTGTAGTTAATACTGTTATTAATACTATTTAGTATTTTATTTACAGGTATCAAGTATGTTTACTATTAGTTTGATAACATTGGATAGCTATCAATCTTCACCATTATCAGGATTAGACATAACATTTTCGGATTTTCGTGGAACAGAAATTAAACATGTACCAGTTATTAGAATATTTGGGTCCACTCCATCTGGTAAATCATAATGTTATCTTATTAAAATTTTTCTATAATAACTATCTCATAATTATTTATCTTATTCAGGTATAAAAACATGTTTGCATGTACATGGGGTATTTCCATACATTTATGTACCCTGTATAATAGAAGAAAACATTGATAGTTATATGTATAAATTAGCCTCAGCAATAGATACTGCAATTAATGTATCTTTAGGATCAACATCATCGAAAAATCAACATGTTTATAAAATCCAACAAGTTTCTGGAATGTAAGGAAGTTATCTTAATTTGTTAAGAAGTCAACAAAGACTTGAATACGTAAATTTTTCTTCTAGTTTATGTTATTAACATATTGAATATATATTTTAGTCCACTCTATGGATATCATGAAAAGGAACATTTGTTTTTTAAAATATATTTCTATAATCCAGCAATGGTTAAACGAGCAGCTGATTTATTACAAGTAAATAATTTGTATATTTCTAATCAATTTTTTATTGTATAGATATTACATATGGGTAATAGTGAATTTGTTATTACAGAATGGCACAATACTTAGTCAATCTCTACAACCGCATGAAGCTCATATCCCTTTCATATTACAATTTATGATAGATTATAATCTTTATGGTATGAGCTTAATAAAATTGAAAGATGTTAAACATAGGAAATATAGAACAATAGAATTAAAGGACAACTCTCAAAATGAAAGTCCTTCTAATTCATTTCATTCTCTAGTATACCTTCCTGAATCTATTACTAGACAAAGTACATGTAAATTAGAAGTAGATGCACAAGCAACTGAAATACTGAATATAGAAGAAATTAGAAATGGTTCAGATTTGAATCCTGGTATTGCAGCAATTTGGAATAATGAAAAGAATAGAAGGGAAGCCAAAGGTTTACAGCAACCTGAATCACAATTACTGCATTCAAATACAAATGATAGAATTTATGATCCGACTGATAACGATATTTATCAAGAAAAAAGATTGATACAAAGACTACAAACTATTTCCAAGGTATGACAATAGTAGTATAATATATAGCTTCTATTTAAATCAAATATTAATTAATTCTTATTTTTTTCTGCAATAAGATGAGTAACACAACAGCATCAGTAACACCAAGTGCACTTAGTTATCCATTAGAAGTAGAAAATGAAAATAATATCCTTAATGCCTCAGGTGTATCAAATCATTTTGAATTACACTCACTAAATGAAAAAAATAAAAATGAAGTACCAGTGAGCAATGAATCATTAAATATTGAGGAACTTCATTTATCAAAACAAACTTTATCACAAGATAAAACTATAGATAGTGTTTGTAAGTAAAACTGAGGACTGATAAAGTATCTTTTAAGAATAGAATTTTTTATGTATGTTGTGTATAATTGATTTTTAACTTATTTTTAGTGGATATAGATGATATGGAGTTAATTGACATGCTAGGTGACTTAGCAGAAACAAACGAAGAAGATATCACTATAGACAATGATAGTGTGTTAGCATCTCAGTATTCAGTATTAAATAATGAACTAAAAGAAGATATTGAAGATGATGAAATTGAAGATTTAAACATTACAAGCTTAGATTTAGATCACCTTAGTTCATGGAATACAATTTCTGAAGCTGCTAGTCAATTAAGTACAACTGAAATTGAAAATAGGAATGAAAAATCTAATATGCTTGAAAATGATGTTGAAGATATATCTTTGTTAAATTTTCCACAATATGATGGTCCTAATGACTTAATTTTTGAAAGCAGAAGACAGCTAATGAAAAAATCTGTAGCTGATATAACAAAAATACGAAGAAATTCAGCTCGTAAATTAGAAAAAAAAACTATCATACATTTATTTCATAAATATATAACGTTAAATCGTTTGAACTTCCGTAAAATACAGCAGTTTGATGATGTATTGCAAAAAGCAATAATAATGTTTCAATTTAACTCCAATGAAGTATCAGATGTAAGGAAAAGATTGGATCAAATTTTATTGGAATGTTCTCTTCCAAAATTAATTGCATTTAATACAATACATAATACATTATTTAGTAATATTGTGTACAGTTTTCCAATACACGTTAATTTTTTTAAGAAACAAATATGTGGTTTTAAGAATGCAGAAAAAAGATCTACACATATTATTAGAGAGAATTTATTACATCTACGTTCTAAGAAAATGTTAAATATAAATGAATGGGACCATCAAGATTTAGATGTATATGATATGGACGATATAGATTGTACATCATTAATTAATGATTTAAATTTAAAAAATATAACTGATTATAATGAATCACATTCCATAGTTCACAATTTTTCAATGAGAATAAAAATACCGCCATTTGATGGTAACACAGTAGACAGTTCTAGTGATTCTGATTTGGATTCAGATATTTCTACCAACAGACAAGAGAAACGTATTTGCATTTACAAGTCATGCACAAAAACTAAAACTGAAGAAAATGTTATAAATATTGCAACGAAAAAACGGAAGCTGGAATTCGAAGACTTGAATTTGAAATCTCCGAAACTACGTAACATGATTTCGGATACGTCACAGAGTGAATTGTATTATACTCCAGTTAAAGCAAAAGGTTTGCAAAGTCCTCGTTCTGTAGGGAAATATTCACCCCTTAATATAACAATAATGTCTCCAAAAGCAAAAGAATATTTTGAAAAACAAAATGTTCCAAGTGATGGACAGTGCAGTTCGAAATCTTTGATTAATACACCAAAGCGAAACAGGGATCAATTGAGAATGAGTGTACTGCGTGAGAAAATTTATAGTTCATCATCTAAAGTAGAACAAGGTAAGTAACTTTATTTGAAATGTATTTAACATTTGTCACTGATATGTTTATGGATTATATATTTCAGTGCATCTTACTGAAAATAATATTGAAACTATCAAAGAGTCTACTGGTTTAGATTGTATAGAAGATAATTCAGTAAAGACAGAGCATAAAAAACATATTACTCCTAAAAGTAATAAAGAGGTTCGTAAACGACTGAGTTTTGTCAATACTAATAATAAAGAAATTGATTCTGTAAAAGATAATATTGACGAAAATTCTGAACATTTGTCTTTAGCAGAAAAAATTACGAATAAGTCGTATGAAAACACTGATTTTCCTATTGTTCCTATGACAAACTTCATTTACAATAAAAGTTTTATTGAAACTTGCACGAGAAACAATGAGGAAGTAAATTATGAAGATGATTTATCAAATAAGGTACTACAAAAAGATGAGAGAGAAAATATTGAAAATGATGAAAATATTTGTAATATGACATATACTCAACTACTTAGTAAAAAATTAGAATCTGCAGCAGACAATTTGAACCTCCTCTCATCAGAATCTACAAGCAATATTACAACAGACAAATTAATTACTATTACAACAAAATTTAATCCACCAACTAGAGAAAGAATTATTAATACCATAATAACATATAATATTACAAGATCAAATGGAGCATTTTTTAGTAATAAAACTGATCTTCTAAAGTATAAAGAGAATTCTATAAAAAATAACAATATTAATGATGTGATTCCCTTCAAGTCTACTTTAGATAGAGTCACTGGTATTAAACTTTGGCGTAGAGTGAAAATAAATGAATTTTATCCTTCTGGATCTAACATAAAGTCCTGTGACATAAAAAGAGTTCTCACAGAACATAATTTAATAGTGATTCAACCTCTTATTAAACCACCACTTCTAAGGAGTGTTAGAACTTGGTTACAAGCTAAAAAATATTTACTAAAAAAGAATAATAAAAATATTGAAATAAAGAGAAATTTAGATGTTGTAAAAGTTATGGAAAATGGAGAAGAAAATGTACTAAATGATGACTCTGATAGAAAATTATATGAATTCAGTAATCCTGAAGCTGATAATATTGAACATCCAAAAAAACAGTCACAAATTTCTGATACTTCATACCATTCGAGTAAGTCTAATGATAGTCTCAACCCTTCTTTACAAAAAATGCTTGAAAATCCTTTATTACATAAAAATGATGACACACAGCATTTGGGAATTTCATATGGTCAGATTGAGTATTCTGTGAAAGAACATAGTGGTAATGTCGCAGATGAAAATTTTCGGAATGCTAGAGGTCAATTTATGGTAAATATTTCACTGTAATAACATTTTTTTAATAAAATGATGCAGTTTTATGATAAATATTACTATCATCTTTTATGTTAATCATTATAGCATCAGTATTTAACAGTATTGTCATTGGAAATACATGTCATAACACGTGGTAAACTACTTCCTGACCCAGAACATGATCCAATTGAAGCAATATTCTATGCTATTTACAATGATATTCCATTATCTTCGGACACTGAACAAATAGTACATGGTATTTATGGAAATATAATATTATGTTAACATTATTTAAACATTACTGGTTAAATACAAAATTAATATTTATTTATTCAGGGGCTATTGTTGTAAATTCTTCTATGGAAAATTCAAAAATAAAAAATATTTATTCAACTAGTGCAATGTGCACAACATCGTATGTATCAAGTGAAAAAGATTTACTGAATAGCCTGATAATATTACTCAGACATTGTGATCCAGATATTTTAATTGGTTGGGAGATAGAATCTCATTCATGGGGTTACATTTTACACAGAGCCGTCCACATAGGTTTTAATAATCTTGTATGGCAAATTTCAAGAATTTCAAATGCTATTCCAACCTTGTTGAAGGAACAGACATCAGATAAAGACAACTTTAATGACATAAAGATACCAGGTCGAATTGTTCTTGATGTATGGAGAATAATGCGACACGAAATAGGTAAAATATATGTTTCAGGAAAATAAAAATATTTGTATATCATGTTACATTTATATTTTTTACAGCACTATTGAATTATACATTTGAAAATGTTATGTACCATGTTCTACGGGAAAGAATTTCTTGTCCTACTTTTCAACATTTAACCGATTGGTGGAAGTATAATAATGTAACAGTACAATGGAAAGTTATCTCTCATTATGTTATAAGGGTTGTTGGCACGCTGAGAATACTAATACATCTTGATGTAATTGGTTGGTATTTCTCCAAGTAATATACAAATTATAATAATACAATGGACTACAAGCTTTACGTATTATTTTATTTTTAATTCAATGAAATGTTTTAGGAAGGACTTGTGAACTTGCACGACTATTCGGAATACAATTTTATGAAGTATTTTCTCGGGGTTCTCAATTCCGTGTTGAATCGATGATGTTGAGACTTGCAAAACCTTTAAATTATATTCCCATTTCACCATCTGTACAACAAAGAGCCAAAATGCGAGCACCTGAATCTTTGCCTCTTATTATGGAACCACAATCTATATTCTATACCGATCCTCTGATTGTTTTAGACTTTCAGAGTTTATACCCAAGTATTATTATTGCTTACAATTATTGTTTCTCTACATGTTTAGGTCGAATAGAACATGTTGGCCAGTAAGTATAATATTAAATGTTTTCATACTTACTGAAATGTCCAATACATATGCTTTGCTTATTTTTTCCAGGCATGAACCATTTGAATTTGGTGCAGCTACATTAAAAGTAAAAGCAAGTACTATTAAAAAGATACAAAATAAAATAAATTTTGCGCCGTGCGGCGTATCCTATGTAAAACCAGAAGTACGTCTTGGCATATTACCACGTATGCTCACTGAAATTTTAAATACACGATTAATGGTGAAACAGTCTATGAAACTTCATGAAAGTGGGAATCGTGTACTACAACGAATGCTTCACTCGCAACAATTGGGTCTTAAATTAATTGCAAACGTTACATACGGTTATACATCTGCTAATTTTAGTGGAAGAATGCCCTGCATTGAAGTACGTATGATGCACTTATATTAAAAGTAATTAAAAGTAATTATAATTATTCTTCCAGGTTGGAGATAGTGTTGTTAGCAAAGGAAGAGAAACACTGGAAAGAGCAATTAAAATTGTAGAATCGACGCCGAAATGGGGAGCACAAGTTGTTTATGGTGACACAGATTCGTTGTTCATCCTTTTGCCTGGAAAATCAAAAAATGATGCATTTACTATTGGAGCTGAAATTGCTGATACAGTTACTGCGGCCAATCCTCCTCCAGTAAAACTGAAATTTGAGAAAGTTTTACAGCCATCAATACTACAAGTAACGCTCTTCTACTATAATGTTAATATTTAATATCTAATAATTAAAATGTGTAACATTAAGAAATCATTTTGTATTTAGACTAAGAAAAGATATTGTGGTTACATGTACGAGTCTCCTGATCAAGAGAAACCTGAATTCTTAGCTAAAGGTATTGAGACTGTCCGTAGAGATGGTTGTCCAGCTGCAGCTAAAGTAAGCCAAACAACGTTCAATCTGCTTATCAAAAAATTTAATCTAATGTTACTTAACTATAATCAATTTTTACTTTTAGATACTTGAAAAGTCATTGAAGATTTTGTTCGATACTAAAGATCTTTCCTTATTAAAGCTGTACGTTACCAGACAGTTTGACAAAATTCTACGGAGGAAAATATCCATACAAGAATTGACTTTTGCAAAGGAATTCCGTGGTTTACAAGGTTACAAACCTAACGCTTGTGTTCCCGCGCTAGAATTAACGCGACGATTAATGCGCAAAGATCCTCGAGCAATACCCCGTACCGGTGAACGAGTACGTTACGTGATAGTAGCAGGAGCACCAAACCAACCACTCATTCAGTGTGTACGAACTCCAATGGAAGTGATTTTAGATGAAGGTTTAAGTCCAAATTCTATGTATTATGTAACAAAGGTTATCATACCACCCCTTAATCGGTGTTTAAACCTAATTGGGATCGATGTCAATACGTGGTATAAGAAAATATCTTTTATATCATATTAATCATTCTTTCTTTACTTTGAATTATCACACTGATATGTTTGGATTTAGGTATAGGGAAATGTCTCACCGACAGACACCTGACAAAGCAATCAATTTGTTGACCGACAATCAGAAACAAACCATTCGACAATTTTTCAGTACAGCTATATGCGCTGTTTGCGGAGGTCAATCGCAGAAAGATGTCTGTACAAATTGTATGGCAAATCCGAATCAAGCGGTTATCATTTTACATGAAAAAACCAGGTGGCTGGAACGTACTCATTCTAAACTTACCACGGTATGACATAATGGCTCTTAATTTTTCTGTGTCAGTAATTATTTTTGTATGAGAGATTCATTCAATTTTGTTTCAGATTTGCCAATCCTGTACCGGTTATTTGGACGATGTAAAATGCGAGTCTTTGGACTGTCCAGTTCTGTATCGTTCAGTTCAAGCTCGAAGAGACCTGATTCAGATACCATATTTAAACAATATCATTTCCAACCGTGATATTTTTCATACAGAAAAAGGAAACACGTAGTAGAGATTTTTATTCTTCCTTGTGTTTGAGACTATTGTATTTTTAGAATTATGGTAAAAAATTATTTTTATACTACAGAAAAATAAAGAATATACCTTCTGTTGTTATGACTACATATTAATGTTTTAATAATATATTTTTAAGACTTGTAACATTATGTATTAACAGTATCTAAAGAAAATGATAATATGAAATTAACTTTCATATTAATCATCGTGTTACGGACTTTTTATTTGAATAATAGCGCATTCAGACAATAGAGGGTTGATTAAGCAAAGTTCCATTGTGTTCAAACAAATTTTGTTATTTAACGAAGAATTCATAAAAATGGTGGATATCATAGCCCTCTAGTGGCGAACGTTAATCGTACCGCCATAGTTGTCATACCATTCATATTGTGTACCACGGGATGTGTCCGTTCTTAGTGGTTTATGATTTCTCGTAAGTGTTTTACCACGTTTTTATCAAAAAGCATTTGACCGCTTAATCTAACGGAAGTTCTATTCGTTGAATTTGTTAAAGTTATCAATGCAGAATCCGTAATGCCACTGAATATGTGAACACCGATTTGTAGTGTTAATTCACATTACACACGAAGCTTTTCCCGCGCAGTATTGGTTTTGAAACGGGGCGACTATATTAATTGAATGGTAAATACGAGGGATCCTGTCACAAAGTATAATAGATCAAAATTTTTTTATTTGGCGTCCATATCATTGACTACCGGTTCGGTTAATAAAAACTTGTGAAAATGCATTTTAAATCACGTTAAAGTACAGTGATTTATCGCTATGATTATTTGGTTTATCGACATACTACAAATTGCTGCAGTCGTATGTACACCATGATCATACTCCTTTTGAACATGCATTTGTAAAGCGAAAAATTCCAAAAAGACTTTTGATATATGTATACATACTTCAACACACGTAATTGGAGTTTCTTGTAAAATTGTAGGTAAGCATTACGAAATTTCCATCTATCATATCATTTGTATTTCATTCATACATGTAAGATGTTTAGTACTGTGAGCATTTATTTTTGTTTTACCATCTAATTACGCATACAGTAACATAAAGAAATATTTATAAGCTACATCAATAGAAGATGAATTCCTGCTAAGTAGTTTGACGATATAAATATTCAAATTAGAATTGTTTTACATGTATAAAAGAATATGAGAATGCTCTTGATTTTGTAAATGAATTTATAATTTCTTATTTGTAATCGTTCTTAAAATAGAAATAAGGTAGGCTGTATATAATTTAGAGAACACATAGATTATATTATTACATTACATCAAGATATTCCAAATTACATTAAAGTTTATTAATTAATATTAAACAGTCGATTATTGATGGATTCTATTATAAGTTTATTTGTTCAATTTTGAAGTGAATACAATGTCGAAACTTAAGTCAGTTGACCGGAAGATCTGCTGCTTCTGTGGACTACCAGATGATGATGAATTACAATTTGGAAAATTTTATGAATATGGTGATATTGTCACACATTATTATTGTTTGGTATATACTTTATACAATTTCTATAATCTATATAAAACACATATTTACACTATAATATTTTTATACGTATAATATAATTTATAGTTATTATCTTCAAACATGGAACAAAAAGGAGGTGACAATGATGGCATTTTGGGATTTTTAAAAACAGATATACAAAAGGAGATACGTAGAGGAAAACGATTGGTAATTGATATTGTTAAACAAAACATAAGTAATATTAAAGGAATGAATTTCTTGTTTTTACTAAGCTTTGTTTATTTTTCAAGGTATGTTCACACTGTAAAAAAGGTGGTGCCACTTTAGGGTGTTGTAATATCAAATGTAAAAAAATGTTTCATTATCCCTGTGGTCTAAGGGCTGGATCCTTAAATCAATTTTTTGGTGAATTTAGGTGTCTACTTTATTTCTTATTTGCAAATCAATATTTTTTTTAGACATGTATATATTTTCATTATTGTTTTGTAGGTCATATTGTCAAATTCATAGACCAAGACAAAAAATAGACCTTAAAGTAAAAAGTGAATTAGAGAAAACTACCGATATTAAATGTTATATATGTTATGATGATGTGAATCCAGCTGATAGAATTGATACAATATGGGCCCCATGTTGTAAAAAGAATACATGGTTTCATAGAAAATGTGTTCAAGTAAGTTAATGATCTCTCAGAATGTACAGGATCTTTTGAGTATGCATAAATGTCTATTTAATAACAAACATTATGTTTCAGCAACTGGCTATGAGTGCTGGTTATTTTTTTAAGTGTCCCTTGTGCAATAATAAAAGAAAATTCCAGAAAGAAATGTTAGAATTTGGTATTTTTATTCCTAGACAGTAAGTCAGAAAAGAATCTGGTGTACTTTATATTAAATAATAACAAGTTACTACAGTTCTAACAACATGTTCATGTTTTCAGAGATGCTTCTTGGGAACTTGAACCAAATGCATTTCAAGAACTTTTATACAGACACGATCAATGCGATGCTCCAATATGTCTATGTCCTAAGGGCAGGAAATATACCAGTTTTAATGCGTAAGTGAAAATGTATTTTTTATTTTCTTATGAAATACTTCTTGTATATTATTTTATTTCCAAAATATATTACTACAGAAAGTGGGAGCTGGCACTTTGTCGAACTTGTGGATCTCAAGGAATTCATATGGCATGTGGACAACTTAAATGGAGTAATCCTGTTTGGGAATGTTCAGAATGCATTTCCATTTTAGGTAAAGTTTCGACAAATACTTCTTATATAAAATACTTATCAATAACATTTTGTAATTTATTCTTTTTCAGATAAATCCAAAGAAAATATCAATACAAACACATCTCTAAGTACATTACAGTATGTATTCTGTTTTTCATTTATCTATTGTAACTATTCAAAATAATTAAATAATATTATAAAGTTAAAATAGTACTGTAAGTTATTAATATTACTGAAGATTGATATGTATGTTTACTTATTTCAGGAGAAATGATTCTGACTCAGAAGAAAGTGACAGTGATATTTCTGTTGGCACAGAATTACCATGTACAACAGACATAACGATTCCTGTTCTAACGCAAGAGATACGTGCCATTAACGTACGTCCCGGTCCACGATCGTTCAAATTAAGACAATACGAAATTGCCAAAGAAATGGAACAGTTAGTATACATAAGTTATAGGATATCACAATTTATATATTTGTTATTGGCCTCATTTAATACTAATAATGAGATGCATAATGTTTGGCAGGTCACACAAAAGCAACAATAGGCAACAGTGTATCGAAGAAACGCATACGGCCCTGAATATAACAAAAGTAGAAGAATACGCAAATAATAAAAATACTCCCATCTATAAATCAAATTCACCTAAAGAACAGCTCAATTCAGTAACTGAACATTGCAAATCCACAACAGTTACTTCAGATGATAGTATTATTACGCTCGATAGTCATGATGAGATGGTAAATATATGAATTTATAAAAATTCAACTAACTAAAATAAAATAAATTCTAAAATTTAAACACCAATGTTACAGAATGCATCTATTAGTTCACTGGAAAATACAATATTAATTGTCGATGTTAATGAACCTGTACAGAATGATTTGTGTCCATTGAACAACAATAATGTTAAAGACAAAAGCGACGATACGGTACAAACTGTTAGTGCTTCTAGAAAAGAAAAACTACGTACAGACAGTTCAGAACAAAATCATGATAGTAATACTTTGATAAATAATTTAAGGGATTTAAAAGTAAAGACTGGTAAATTGGAAGAAAACAATTCACAAGATCTAAAATCAGTTGATTTGGACAGAACGATACTGAATATAGAAACTGATAGTAATTCTAGTGACTCGCTTTCAAATATCAGAATTAGTAATGTTATTTCTTTAACACCCGATCAATTTGAAAATGTATCGTTCGTCGATGACAAACAGAAAATCAACAATGCTCAATGTTTACAACAAAATTCTAGTTCAAGACCACATTCTTCACGATCGAAAAGTGATAATTTCGAAATGCGATTGAAAAGAAAAATTGATAATGCTGTTTCGAATTCGATCAGTGCATTAGAAGAGAAATCGAAGAAGAGAAAAAATTTTAACGCATATAAACAACAGGATCAGTCGTTACCTGTATCTGTAGACATTGAAAATATTAGCGAATCTAAAAAAATTGCTGATAATATTTCAATTCCAACACTCGATGCAGACCGTACACAAATCAATAAAAGTAATAATAGTAATACCTTTGCAACTATGTTTAAGACACATAAAAAATATCAGTCGCATGTTCAAGTTGAACAACGCTTAGTTAGAAATACTGATGTTCTATTCGATACTCAAACACCTAATGTAAACCACACAGAAGAAAATATTTTGAAGATATTAGATGATGATGATGAGGATGATAATGATGAAGATGGCGATAATGATGATGAAGATGATGATGATGATGATGATATTTCAGTATCATCAAAATGTAAAAGAAGAAGCAACAGTAATAGTGAAACTAATAGTGAGATGGAAATATCTGAAAACAAAAATATCGAAGGAGATATAAAAAATGTAAGTAACATAATTTGAATGTTATTGTACATTTTTATTTTACACCAAATACACTCTCTAAGTAGAAAAATATTTTCAATTAGGCACATGCACAGAGAGGAATAAAACCATTATATTTCTATTAGTTATCTCTGTACCCTGTGCAATCAATGATGAAAATAAAGTGATATGAAATTAAATCTCATATTATTAACCCTTAAATTCATTTTTGGAGGGAGTTCTTCCCATATTCTAAATTTCATCTTTCATTTACATACACTTTGGATTGGTATCATTTAATGCAAAGTACATTGTTAACGTATCATTGATATTATATATACTTGTGTGTGTGCCTGTGCGTATGTGTATATATATGTATATACACAGGCAACTAAGTATCTGTTACTTTTAAGGACAGAAATAAATGTTTGAGTTGTGAAGTTTTATTTTGTATATATTACTCTTTATGGCATGAAAATTGTTGTTTAGTTTAAGGGCTGATTCTTATCCAAAGTAGCAGGGTACGGGGATTGTATATTAAGTCTATTTCCCCGTACCTTCTCTTCAATGTATAATTTGAAATTCTAACAGTGTGACGCGGATGCAGGCACCAGACGTGCTGCTACCAGTTCAAGATACAGACACTTCCCAACAGATGAAGGGACTGACCTTGCAAAAGGATACTTCAGACATTCTTTTCTGCCATCAGGAACATCGGAGCAAAAAAAATCGCAAAACGATATTGAGATGTGAATATCATTTACTTCTATCCATAGTTTCTTAGTTAAAGACAATCAAACTGTTTACAAAGTAATTAGAAAATTTCGGTTCTACATTAGAAATTTGAATTGTAGGGCTACCATGTCAAACCACGGAACCAACGTCAGCGATTTCAAGAAAAAAGAAAATAAAAACACCGAAAGTGATAACTATCGACTAATACCAGAATACATACGCTTATGTGATCTGAAGTTCCGTGTGTGTAATTCGAATAATTTACTGGTTAGTAACGTATTCTTTTTTAATCAAATAATACAACATGTTCATTTGTAAACATGCATTAATCGTAATCACTTTGCAGATGGTTTTATATAATAAGTTCTCTGTAAATATTAATATGGAGAATTCGGTTATAATGAAGAACAATGCTGGTTTCGATTCTACATGGAAGAACATCCAACAAAAGTATTTGAGAACGCACAGCGAAATTACTTCGATTTTTAAGCCTGGTGATAGCTTACAGAGTAGTACTCCTATTTGTAAAGATAATGGCAAACATGATCTATTTATTAACGGCCAGTCAGAGAGTTATTGCGAGGATGCCAAGGAAAATTTGGATCCGATATGTTGTAAAATTACAGCGGATAATGGTAATAATCAAAGTGAAAACAGTAGTTTAACACATTACAAAATGTACAATACGTCTAAAGTGATCGAAGAAGATAGCAAGTGGCGTTACCGGGAGAACGTTAATTTAGTGAACGACTCTGCGAATACTTTCGATACGGATGAGTTTATTACGCACTCTAATGACAAGCACTTCAAAAATATTAACAATGTGAAACAAAAGAACACTAACACCGAAGGTTTTGGCAAGAATGATATTTTTGACCTAACGGAATCGCACTGTGTAAATAATAAAGTGAAGAACAAAAGAAGTGTGAGTGGAATCCATTTTAAAATAAGCATTGATCTAAAAAAAATAGAGAGCCTTATTGATACTAACCTAGAGTTATTCTCGAAAGATAGAAAAAAGAATGACGAACAAAATATTGATGATATAGGTTTATTAAAGGTATGGAACGATTTAAACGAAAGAATTAATATAACGAACAGACACGTTTCGGGTTCAGTGATAGACGAATCAAAGCATCTTGGAAATTTTACGTTATCCACGGTTGGAGGTCGGGTAGCAGAATTGAAAAGCCATAGAAGTGAAGATAACGAAAGAAATGACATAAAGAACGATAGTGATATCTCCAGACAATATAAGAAGAGGGACAAAATATTTCAATAATTTTTCGTTCGCTCGCCAAAAACAGGATTTGAAGTTCATTAAATGTCATTTTGAAAAATGCTTTTCTTTCAATAAATAACGTGATATAAATATGTATATATCTATCTATGTATATCTATACTTACAGATTATGAAAATATTAATCTAACTACATTATTCGCAAAAACTGCATTCCTGAGACTAATACATATATAATGATAGACACTGTTTTTGTATGTAGTAATATCTAACATATTTAGTAATACTATATTATTTTTAAGTCTTGTAAAAATAGATATCTATCTATATATATACATAACTTAATGAATTTATTGCATTTTTACTTAAAAACTGCATAACTCATCTTTGTATTTTTATTTTACTTGGTATTAAGTAAGTGTTTTATTAAAAATATAGTCATTAAGTTTTCGAGTTTTCCTTTTTTACTTATTATTTTTGAGACAACAGTAAATATATAGGATAAACCATTATGTTTGCTGCCTTAATTATCGCGAGAAAAATTCGAAAATTCCCTTCTAATCGTCCCTTTACTTCTAAATGTGTTTTGATCTTTGCACGATACACTTATGTTGTTGCGTATCTGTATAATTGTAGTAAAATCTGTTATGCGCAATTTCAACCAAGTAAATAATTATATTTATCATCATAGGTGTTATATTTCCTGATTATTGTTGTTCATGTTTTATTGTATGTATTTTATAAATCGAATTTTATCGTTAATATGTACAATATATGATTTTCACTGCTATTTATGGTTGTAGGTATTATTATTATTATATACAAAGTTAATCGTTTTTTCTATGTCACACTATATTTTAGTTTATACCGAGTATTATACATGATTTTTAAATAGTATCTTATTAATAGTATACGAATAAATATAGCACAATAAATAAACTTGAATAAGAACTATTAAACATATAAGAAAAAAGAAACTAATTATATGGTGTGAAGAAAGTATTTGAAATCAACATGGCGATAAAACGGAACTATATTTATATAATTGTAATAAAACTGTCATTAAGAACGGGTGTTTTAAAATACTTTATTAACTACTGCAAATCTTGTTTGTAAAAAGAGTTTAATAGCTGCGACCAAAAAGTGTATAAAACTTAGGTTTATTCTGACAACCGGGATAAACGCATTTTTGTTCGTTTAGATGGGTCGGAGAGGCTGGCTGTTCAAAAGGTATACAAAGACTTTTAGCGCCCATTGAGAGTGTTCCAAGTTCTTCTCCTACGTTCTCACTATAAATAGTAAAAAGACACATATTTACATTGCATTAAGGGATTTGAATGGTAAGTAGTGATGTAAATCAAATTTACCGAGCGCTATCAGCTTTAATGTTATCTTCGCAAGATATTTCTCCACAAAATGGTGATAAGAGTATATTCTTCTTATTGAGTTCAGGACAAAAATCATCCCAGTTGTCAACACGTTTAATATGCTCATTCAAATTTTTCCTCGCTCTATTAAGAAAAATATCCATCATTTGATATGTAACGGTTCAAAACATTCATATATAAAATATATAAAATCTACTTACTTTGCAAGCATGTTAGACTGTATATCAGCCAATAAGTTATGTAATGCGGAAAGCACTTCGATTCTTTTTGCAACTACCCTTTCTGAAGTATCTCTACGTACAAATGTGACTTGTTCTTTCTCCAAATCTTTGGGTCCTAATTCAATTCTTACAGGCACTCCCTTCAGTTCCCAATGATTGAATTTCCAACCAGGAGTTCGATTGCTACGATAATCAGCCTTTACTCTAACTGTTTTGTCCTTTGAAAGCTCATCCAGTAGTTTGTTACATTCAGCGGATAAATGTTCTCTTTGTTCTAGAGTTGTATTAGCTGTGATTCCACAAGGTACTATAATAGCCTGAATACAAGCCACATTCGGTGGGAGCACTAGACCTTTGTCGTCCCCGTGAACCTACATAAAATGTAACATTTTGTCCGTAAATATTTTTGTATTAATAAACATTTTTTTAAATTTATGAGTTTCTCATTAACCGGTATCTTGATCTTGTATACATACCATTATCATGACACCAATCGTTCTAGTTGTTAAACCCCACGAATTCTGATAAACGAATGTTTTCTCGTCGCTTTCTGTTGCACCCTCCACTTGAATATTAAACATTTTAGAGAAATTTTGTCCTAAATGATGACTAGTTGCTCCTTGTACAGCACGACCACTTGTGGAGATGAAAGCTTCCACTGTGGTAGTGTAATCACCTCCAGCGAACTTCTCTTTTTCAGTTTTACGACCTTTAATGACAGGTATTGCTAATAAATCTTCATACACTCTAGCGTATATATCTAAAATCGTCAGTACTTCTTCATCCGCTTCAGCCTTAGTAGCAAAAGCAGTGTGTCCTTCTTGCCACAAAAATTCCCTTGTACGTAGGAAAGGTTTGGGGTCCTTGAATTCCCATCTCACTACATTGTTCCATTGATTAAGCTTCAAAGGAAGTTCAGTATCAGACTTCAACCATTTGGCATAGGCTGGATACATGACGGTCTCTGACGTTGGTCTGATAGCAATTGGTTCTGCTAAATCCGATTCTCCACATTTTGTAACCCAAGCAACTTCTGGTGCAAAATCTGCTATGTGTGTCTTTTCTTTTTCTAAGACTGCTCGTGTAACGAAAATAGGAAAATAGCATTCTTGTACACCCAGTTGTGTTATTTCCTTGTCGATGTAATCCTTTATTATTTTCCATATGGAGAAGCTCCACGGGCGAAGAATATAGCAACCAGACACGTCGTAATATTCAATCATACCACTTTTAGTAATGATTTGAGAATACCAATCGAAAAAGTTTTCCTCTTTCTTCACTTCCATTCCTAATCTGGTTCCAGTTTTTCCACTGTCCGCATCTTTTACACCCTCACTTTTTACTACTTCTTTGTTAGAAGAATTCTTTTGTTTCTCAGTCTTAGAGATATCTTTTTTCTTTTTGGAAGTTGCATCTGACGTTTGTGGTTTCCATTCTTCACCAGTTACCATTTTATAATTACTTTTTAATTCCAGGAGAACTTTTACTTCTTGATCAATGATATTCTTATCAGCTTTAGATGCTTTTAACTGCCTCACTTTGTCTCCTTGTTTTTGTATACTCTCTGAAAGCTGATCAGTATTGAGTTCTTCTTTATTTACGGTTTTAATTGGTGTTGCAGCAGGTGGCTTCCATTCCTGACCTGTTGCATCTTTATAATCGGCCTTCAACTTAAGAAGCAACTTTACTTCTTGATCGATAGCGCTTTTTTCAGCTTTAGATGCTTTTAACTGCCTCACTTTGTCTCCTTGTTTTTGTATATTCTCAGAGAGTTGATCAACTGTAGGCTCTGTTGTATTTTTTAAATCAGTTGCCGGGCTAAGTTTTTTATCAACACTTGTTGCATTACATTGTGATATATTCTGACTTCCTGTTTCTGTCCATTCATTGCCTGTTTTATTTCTAAACTCTGTCTTTAATGTGGAAAGGCGTTGATTTTCTTGATTTATTTTTTCCATTAATTCCTTAATTTTATTTTCCTGCTGAACAATATCATCGGACAATTTATTTTTATCCGAATTAACGGATGCTGTGGTTTGTGGTAATTTACTTGGAGTCTTTTCTGGTTTCCATTCTTTCCCAGTACATGCCTTATATTCGGCTTTTAAGTTTAGAAGTATTTTCACCTCTGCATCAATTGCAGCTTTGTCTGCTTTCTGGGATTTTAGAACACGCACTTTATCGCCTTGAGTAATAATTTTTTCATTGATCACGTTAGCATCGTGCGTGGAACCCTATATTTCGAAACAAACATATAACATTAGAAAGTATGCATCATTAAATTTTTTATGTATTTTTAACTTATGAAATTATAATATATTACACACATTTTTCTGTGAAGCTTCTTTGTTCGTATTTGTTGGTGTAGTGGTTGGAGTTTTTGAGGGGTTGGTAGCATGTCCATCCGGTACATGAAATAGAATTAAGGGTTGTTCCCTAGAAGAAAATGGACTGGCAGATGCGTAAGGTATATCGCACCGGAAAAACCCTTTCCTTTGTAATTGAATAATTTCTCCTTTCTTCACACGTTTCAATTCCGTTTCTCCAACCATTTGTGTCTCTACCTAAAATGTATATAAAGTTGACGATATTGATTCACTACATTTACAACTGATAAAGATCAAAGTCTTACTCTTGTAGCTTTTGCAATGAAATCTTTAAAATCATCATCTTTCCCCAAAACTGGTTTGCTTATAATATGATCAAAATATACAGCATAACATGGTATTAGACTAGATTTACTAATATCATCGTCACTGGTATCAGAAGGTTTTGTTAACCAAGTGATTTTCAATGTATTCTTGTAATCTTTATTCTCCAAATTTAATTCAGCTAGTACTTTCGTAACAACTCCATTGCTTTTTTCAATTTTTTTTATTAATATATTGCCCCAATTGATGAAGGTTGTGTTTTGATTTTCAACTAATACGTCTGCATCATCTTTCTCTATGTATAACACTGAACCTGTTAGCACCTGTTTGGTACCTTTAGAGGGATCTTTTGGATGATTTTGAACTGTTAACCATTCTTCCTTTGCATTGGTTATATGAACGGGTACAAGTTTATTATAATCTAAAGCAGTATATCTGAAAATGAATTCAAGTTGCTTATATACTGCTGTATAAATGATATTCAAACTAAAATATTGATTTCAAACATGGGATTGCAAAGGTTTTTAAACCAATTTACCTAGTAGCAATTGGATCAATAACTTTTTTGTTAAATGCCCATATTTTATCCCATTCCATGAAAACAACAGATCTGGAGCTACCTTGGGCAATTATAAATTGTTTCAATCCTTCGACGGTCATTCCTCTTCTTAAAATACCTCTTACTGTTGGAAACCGCGGATCGTCCCATCCATCAACGAGACCTTCATTGACAAACCAAGTTAGTTTTCTTTTAGAGAGTACTGTGTTGGTCATATTCAAACGCGAGTATTCCCATATATAAGGACGTCTCAAGCCTAGAGCATCGATTATCCAATAAAATTGAGCATCTCTGTCGTGATACTCTGTTGTACGTAAAGTATGTGTAACGTTTTCAATAGCATCGACGATGGGGCAAGCAAAATCATATGTCGGATACACTCTAATAAAAAGGGAATACAATTTACATTATACATTTTATATTATTTTTCATATATGTTTAGATATATTATAAATACTTGTATTTCGTTCCAGTTCGAGGATGAGGCTCTGGTTTACATCTATATATTGTTGGATCTCGTAAACATCCATTTGCTGATTCATAATCAATTTTTGCTCTAACACAGCATTCCTGTCCCTTTGTAGTTCCCTGTTGCATTTCGTTCCACAATTGAAGATTCTTTTCAACAGCTAATAAATAAATACGTTTAATTTACGAATTTCCAAATATAATACCATACTTAATGTTCAAAAGCATTAATGCTCACAATTATTCCTATTTAATGACATTAACTTTTGATCACGTTGTTCTTTCATTACATTAGCAGGAGTATCATCTACATATGCTTTTTCCTCTTTTATTAATTTAGTACAGTACTCCAACATCAAATCAAAGTAATCAGAAGAATGTGTGAATCGATCTGGTTTAATTTGTAATAATTCTAAATCTTCCAAAATAGCTGTCTCAAATTCCACAGTTTCTTTCGCAGGATTTGTGTCATCAAATCTCATAATAAGTTGTCCTTTGAAAGCTTCTGCATAATACTGATTCAACAAAGCTGCTTTGGCATGACCAATATGCAAAAATCCACTTGCTTCTGGTGGAAAACGTACTACAACCTATCATAAAATAAGACTTATTTTATAGTATTCTTTTAATACTACACGAATAATATAAAATTGAAGTATTACTATTATTTGAGCATGAGTTTAATATACAAACTACATTATAAAAATAAAGCACTCACTTTTCCCATTTCTGCTCCAGGCAATTCAATGAATTTACCTTCTTGTTTCCTTTGGCCAGTTTGCTTATTCGCAGCCTTTTCGGATCGTGCATTGTTAACAACCATTTTGGCATTCTTTCTAACTGAGGATAATGCTTCTGCAACAGCAGACAGTGATAGAATTTGTTTATACCATCTACTTATGTTAATAAATTGCTCTTTAAACTTTGTTATAAACTCCTTCTCCAAAAGTGCACAAAATACAAAGATATCAGCTAATGTTAACTGTTTGGAGACCAACCAAGTAGATGTCATTAATATATTGTCCAAATATTGCAGCGTGTTTTCTTTCAATGGAAGAGATCCCAAAGGTCCGATCGCAAAGGAAAGCCAATGATCAACCTCAGTTTTTTCAAGAGGATTGACACCTCCTAAATGAAAGACATAATAAATAAAAGTAATACATATGATTCATCAAATAATAAAACATTGAACTTATGTGCACTTACCATAGAGATCTGTATGTGTAGTCCTAGCAAAGTAACGACAAACATCACTACTCCTTTCTGCTAATACTTTATTTTGACTGTCCTTTAATTGGACATTGCCTTTATTGTTCCAATCATTACACCAAACTACCTCGATTTTTTCTTTACTTTCAGAGTTAATTAGTTGTACTATTATCAAAGCTTCTGCATAAATTAAATAGATTCTAATTAATATTATTATACATAAGAAATACATTCTAGTATCACTATACCAAAACTTGCATCAGATTTTCAGATAATACTCTAATAAGCACATACTTATTCTTGGTGACTAATAAATGAAAATTTAATAGTGATAACATTTTCAACTAAAATTCTTTGAAAGAAAACTAATTATCACATTGTCGGCAAACCAGTCTGACATCTGTTTTCAACTTTTTTCGAAACATACGTAGTCTTAGAATTTTTTAACTTAAAAGTGTACGATAATTAGATACAACTTACCAGTCGGGGGATTTTTTGAATCCACCGTAAGTTTATGTGTCATTTTTCTCTGTATTTTTTTAATTAAATTGTAACTTTTATAAGTATGTTCACGTTGGTTAGAACTGTTCCTTCACCACGTGTATAGTCATAAATGACACCGCCATAGATAGGAATCCAGTTCTACAGTGATGATACACAAGGTCCATCGTGACATTCTCTTTTTATTCTAAAACTCAATTCTTTGTGACAACTCTTGCAGAGAGAAATACTTGTAGAAAAAGCTACAAAGAGTTTAACTACATTTTTGTTACAATGTTAAATCGATGAACTTAATGTGAAGAAAACAAAATAACAATTTCTTCATAATTTTTATATTGTACAAGTAATTTCAAGATCAAAGTAAAAATTGATTCAGAGATACTAATCGTATACGATTAAATTGAAAAAATCGTATACCTAAGAATCTTGAAGATGAACATTAATTTATAATATTCTGTTTTAGTGACAATATAGCGAACTTTTAAAGTCTGTTACTTTCACATACCGAGTGGCGGCGTGCAAATAATATGCGAGTTCTTAACTTCTACCATGGTGCAAAATTTTCATTGAATTCACCGAGCTCGAAAATCATATACTCTGCTGGTTTAAGAGCTCCTAGGGAGACCTAGTTTCCGAGCTAATATCGTGAGGGTACTGTATAACAGATAGAAGTGTACAGCGAAGGTGGGTCGGTCACCTGGAGATAACTGTAAAATGTCATCGACGAATGTGTGTCAGGAATGGATTTGACGCTCATCGGTGACACTTGTGGGATCTGTTGTCACATTAATTATGTTCTATCGATATTAATTTGATTGATAAGAGAGCGGCTACATAGACAAACAGCGTCTTCTGTCAATTTACTTCAATGTACGTAATACAATTATTATTTAAAAGAAATAAGTATTATTTCAGTTGCAGTAGATAGTCTACTGTTTTTTTTCCTTTTCATTCCTTTGTAGGAAATTCATATGGTTCGACTGTAATTTAAAATTCGTGGAAATATTCGCGATTGATTGAGTAATATTGGTTTACTTATTTATTAGTATTTCTTTTAGATACATTAATTAATTGCAAATTGGTTTTGGTAATCATTTATTTTGCATAACAATTGTAATTATTTTGGCCAAAAAGAACCTTTTTTTCTAGCAATATAATTTCTGAAAAAAATAATATTTTTATATTTTGAGGAGAAAATAAAACTTTTTTTTATCGTTATTTTAAAGAAATATTTAAGTATAGCATTTTAATTAATTTATATATAAATTTATTGTGTATCTAGCCGAGCTTATTCAAGGAATATTGACTTATCAATGTGTTTACAGATTGCAGATAATAATACATATAACATGGAGGGACCAGAAATAACATTTTTATTTCAATTTGGTTTGACTCGTGACACTGTCACTGTTGATGGCAGCACGTTAACTCTTAGGGCTCTTAAAGAATTTGCCTGCGATTTTATAAACACTAAATGTCCTGAGCATGGTTTGAATCACTTGTTTGAACGATTGCTTTTATTTAAGCATGATTATAATTCTACCAATATATTACAACTGATCACAAATACAACAGAAGTTGTTGATGAAACTTTGGTAGAGATTGTTTTGACTGGTACATATTATTTTTTTATTAATAACAATTATCTTTTTACAACAATCATTTTTTTACAATAGTATTATAAATCACAGAATCTATTTTAGAAGACAAATTTTGAAAATAACTTAGGAAAAGTGCTTTGTATGTTTTAATGTTCTAAAACAGAAACATATAATTGCTTCAAAATACAAATAAATGAAATAAAAGTAAAAATATTTATTTAGCAAATAATTAGTTCATTTTTTGTCTCAGCACAAGTGCCAAACGAGGAAGTTCCCATTCGTTCTCATGCTTTAAGTGTTCACTCATATAAGGTTCCAACATTTTGTGATTTTTGTGGAGAAATGTTATTTGGTCTTGTTCGACAAGGTTTGAAATGTGAAGGTAAATAAACTCTAAAATATAATAACAATATATCTCATGATTGATGTATTAAGTTCAATGTTTTTTATTGTGCAGGTTGTGGAATGAATTATCATAAAAGATGCGTTATTAAAATACCTAATAATTGCTCACAAGATGTCAATCAAAGACGTCGCAGTTCAGCAATGCTAAATGTACCCAGATCTCCGAGTCAAGGATCTACCAGTAGTTTGACCAGCATCAGTGATGATAATCATAGTACAAATAATATGCCGAATGTGAGCCAAAATAGTAGTACTTTGGTAGGATTTTTTGTAACACCTAACATACAACCTATTTAGTTTTCTGTATTATTATAATATTATATTTTGTATATTGTAATCATCTCCTGTATTCAGACAATACCAAGTATAATGGCTCCAAAACAATCCCGCTCTCCCTCACTTGGAGGAAGACCAGTATGGGTCGAACGAGAACTTGCAACACGTATAAAAATTCCGCATACATTTGTGGTGCATACATACACTAGGCCAACTGTATGCGGACACTGTAAAAAATTGCTAAGAGGTTTATTTAAACAAGGCCTCCAATGCAAAGATTGTCAGTATAATGCACATAAAAAGTGTATTGATAAAATACCTAAAGACTGTACCGGAGAAAATCCACGAGACAATACAGGTTCTATTTATTTGCTTCATTATTCATTAGGTTTCCCGGAAAGTTCTGTTTGTTCTCGATTCGAAACTCAGTGTCAAAAACGTCATAAATATATTTTGTAATATTTATATCAAAATATAATTTGTGACTTCTTCCCATTTTCTAAGAAAACTTTCAATATTATTTTTGGAAGATTGCGGTTTGTTTAAATAATATGAATTTGTCTATAAGTTACACGAATCAAGCCGACTATAGATAATAAAATTATTCTTTTATTAAGAAATCCTAGATAATTCTGAGTAGGTGATAATTCGAAGGTGCAGTCTGAAGAATATAAAGAGTAATTGCGATCCTTTCCATTTTTATTCCTGATTCTTTCTTATACCTTTAAAAACGCATATATCCTTACGTTATCATGGTGTAAAATTTCATACCTTCTGTTTGCTAGAATCTATAATCGTTTCTCCACTTATTGTTATCACTACTTGTTGAATTTTAAGCAAAATAAGTTTCCTTAGTCTCACCAAATATAAAGCTCTTACACTTTCTAATGCAAGCAAAATTTTCTATTAATTAGCACAGTTTTTTAAATTTAATGTATGTTTTTCTTTAAGATATTATATCACATATATTCTCTGTAATTAAACAGCTTCAAAATAGTTGATATCAATTGTTGATTAATATGTCAAATTCTTAATCAGCTCATGCAGTACACATTATAAATATTTGTGTGTAATTCCCAAGTGATGCATCTGTTCGAGTATTATTTTATGTTAGTTGTTACCTTTACCAATGAAAATAATTCTTAATATTCTTAAACAGAAAATAGCTTCTAATTACGAAGATAGAACTTTCGGCAGACCTAAGTAGACAACATAAATGAGTACTGTTCTAATGTAAATTGTTATACAGGTAATGAGTATCCTGATAGTGGAGTTGGCAGTGAACCAGAAGGTAAATGCGATGGAAGGAATGAAGAAGGCGACGGTGATAGTGATGCTGAATCTCCATCACCCCCTCAACATTCTTCATTTGCAGGAGATGAAACAAAATCTTCTGAAGATTACACTGTAAAATTTATTTATAATATCATGAAGTATCATATATAGTAATGCTATTTTTATGTTTAATAATGAGCCCTATAAAATATTAATTTACTAAAATCCTTAGCAAATTGTATTCATTTGAATTAATGTTATAGGATCAAGTTCCAAGCAATGATGATACTATTTATGATGAATTTCAAAAGTCGAGACCATCGAGGTAAGTTAGGTCTTTCAATAGTTAGGTATGCGAGTGTAGTACAACATTAATTTTTTATTATATGTGAAATTTATTTTACTAGTTGCAGTTCCACACCAAGCAATAACATTCCTTTAATGCGTATAGTGCAAAGTATAAAGCACAGAAAACGACGTGGGTCAAAAGTTCTGAAAGAAGGTTGGATGGTGCATTTTACAAACCTTGACCCAATGGTAAAAAATTAATACACACACACACGTAAAAACGATTATATTAAAATCAAATTTAAAAGTACATTCAATTATTTTTTAGAGAAAAAAACATTACTGGCGTCTTGACACAAAAGCTATAACATTATTTCACAGTGAAAGTAGTTCCAAATATTATAAAGAAATTCCATTAGTTGAAATAATATCGATTGAAACTGCAAAAACGTCTCGTTCAAGTATGTATTCAATTAAAGTTCTTATTCTATTAAAGTCATAAAATAAACATTAGTTATATTTTTATTTAATGATATTCTGATTATGTTTTAGGCACAATGCATTGTTTTGAGTTTAAAACTGCCAATGTTGAGTATTATGTTGGGGAAGATTCTTCGTTTGGAGATAATTGTAGCCAAGTTCCTCCTCCTCCAGAAAGTGGAATTGGAGTACACGTAGCTAGATCATGGGAAACTATTATTAGACAGGCTCTTATGCCTGTAACAACTGTATCGAGTAGTGGGTATTTTCGCTCTTATTACTGTACACATGTACATGTTTTTATGAGAAATTTGATAATAAATTTATTACTATTTTAGGTCAAGAACAGTCTACAGAACCAGAAGAAAATGTCACAGACATGTCTCAGTTGTATGAGATCTTTCCAGATGAGGTATTGGGTTCTGGTCAGTTTGGTACTGTATATGGTGGTGTTCATCGTAAGAGCGGTCGAGCAGTTGCCATAAAAGTTATCGATAAGCTACGTTTTCCTACAAAACAAGAAGCACAGCTTAAAAATGAAGTTGCTATTCTACAAAATCTTTCTCATAGCGGTGTTGTTAATTTAGAACGGATGTTTGAAACTACAGAACGTATATTTGTAGTAATGGAGAAATTGAAAGGAGATATGTTAGAAATGATACTGAGCTCGGAACGCGGCCGCCTCAGTGAGAGAGTCACTAAATTCTTAATTACACAGATACTGATAGCGCTGAAACATTTACATAGTAAGAATATAGTGCATTGTGATTTAAAGCCAGAAAACGTGTTGTTAAGCAGTGACAATGAATTTACCCAAGTAAAACTGTGCGACTTCGGTTTTGCAAGAATCATAGGAGAGAAAAGTTTCAGAAGAAGCGTTGTTGGTACTCCTGCATATTTAGCCCCAGAAGTTTTAAGGAACAAAGGATACAATCGATCTCTAGATATGTGGAGTGTTGGTGTAATTATTTATGTATCTTTAAGCGGTACATTCCCATTTAACGAAGAGGAAGATATTAATGAACAAATTCAAAATGCTGCTTTCATGTATCCTCCTGATCCATGGAAAGAGATTTCGTCGGATGGTATAGAATTTGACAATTTATGATTTGTCTTTTAATGATAAATGCTGTTTAAATATAATTTACTTTTTTTCAGCAATTGATTTAATAAATAATTTATTACAAGTAAAACAAAGGAAACGATACACTGTAGACAAAAGTTTACAGCATACATGGCTACAAGTGAGCATTTAAAAAATCTTAAAGAAATATCATATGTATCGTATGCCAACGTTGAAATTACCTCACAACACTAGGAACAACCAACTGTAAATTTTTCTATTTTTTTCAGGATTATCAAACGTGGTGTGATTTACGAGAATTAGAGGCAAAAGTGGGTTATCGTTATTTAACTCATGAAAGTGATGATGCTCGGTGGCTGGCGTACAGTAATCAACGCACATGACAGAATTGTTCGCCTACATTAAACATAAAAACATTGCCAAATAATTTGTCATTACACAAAGGTTGGGCTCGAAAAGCTCGAGCCACTTTACAGCGTTTTATTCGTGCCTGACTTGGATAAGTTCGTAGAAGGGAGTACAATTTTATCTCTTATTTTAAATGTTAGAATACTGATAGTAAACCAACGCATCAATGATGAACGTATCTTTCAAGATATTTGCGTAGGAAATAAGAATCTTACTTAATGACATTTTGATCAGACTGCAATATGTAAGATAAGACACTGAACAAGATATTGTAGTGAAATGCAACAGTAATGTGCATACAAACTCTAAAACTTCAGTGAAAGTTAAATAACAGATCTAAATATGCTTCAATATTGTGAGATTTTATTGTAGTTATCAGATTGTATAACAACAAATGTTTTAAAGAATGGTATACATGGTATAATTGTGTAATATGTTATAACAATTACATAATTTTCGTTTTCTTAGATAAATAATTATTTTGCGTTTTTATATCACTTTAATATTCTTCTAAATGCATAATATTTTACAAGTAACTTATAAATACTAATTTTGTATCATGAATGACATCTAACATATTTTCTGATTTAATATAGAGTTGAAACTGTAGTATAGTTCATAATTGCACAAATGTTGCTTGGAAGTACTGCTAGTAGATTTATATAAATATAATAATATATTACATACAAAGAACTACAAATAATACGCATTACGCATTGTGTACTATGATCAGAATGACCAAGTTAATGTGATCACTGAAAATACTTTTATTGTTTTCAGTAAAATAGAAATGAAAAAAAAGTTGTACTATTATAAATATCGAAACATTTATTGAAATCAAACTTCCTCAGATTTCAAGATTACCTAATTAAGTTATACCATTGTTTTAAGGAAAATTTGTTCTGTAAATTGTAGAGATATTTTGAGTAGTCACATTAATGAAACGATCTGGTTAAATATTTGGCATGTCTTTGAAATTAATGATGGGATTAGATTATATACATGTAGAAGCTTCTTTTCAAATTTGTAGAATTAGACAAGAATATAAAGAAAAAAGATTTTTACTCCGCATTTTCTCTTAAAAGTGTCTAAACTTAAAAATTAGAAGCTTCAATGTCTATATCTCTCATCTGATTTTTGAAAACATAGCAATTTACTAATGAAGTCATAGACATTTGGTAGTCTGTCCTTGCAAAGTATTATAATAAGATCATAACATGAATATTGTTTCCTAATGCTTCCAACTACAAACATTCGCCTGTACTGATTATAAAGAAAGAAATTAATTGTAATGTAAGTACACTTCAAATAATTGGACATTTCTTGGAAATATCCTTAAGGATGTCCTATATAGTATTGTGGACATAATCGCTAATGTGATAAATTTTGTATTAGGAAGTAGCAATCAAAAATCTGTTAAAATTATTCGCTCATTGGCATACAGTAGAAATGAGTTGAGTGTTCTGAATGTATTTATTGTTCCATTTTACTACTGAACAGTTTCTGT